AGCGTTTTCTGTGTTCGGCTGAAAGAATAGTATATGTGCCCAATCATACCACCGCGTCTCAGCAATCCCCGTCCTCAAGATATAAACCATTAGTATCAAAAGATGAAAAGCGCGCCGTTCTCAAACTCCGGAAATTCAAATTTTTGTGCATACAAAGGTGAACAGAATGACGCGACTATCTATACACCCATGCACCATAAAGGATTCTGCACTATGCTCAGTAAGCTCAGGGAATAACTCGATTGAAACTCACTAAACAACCATAGAGCGTCTGAAAAAATCGGTGTAGCCGGCGTTTCGGGTTTTGATCAGCAGCATTAGCATGACACAACCATTGTATAGCTGATATGCTAAAGTAAGGCCGTTGAAGGAACATTACTAAAATCATGTGGACAAATGACTAGACAAACCTAATGGCTCCATCAAAGGCCCCTGGCCGAAAAGGTACTCCACTTCCCATGTCCGTCCACACAAAATCACCAACATTATCTCTATCTTCTTCATCCTCTTTAGCTAATTCTGAACACTTGAATTCATCAATAAGGAGAGTGTCCTGTAGATAGGAACAACTCACTCAACATAGGTCTACTTATATCAAGTCCTACCCATACATGACCATTGTCCGCGAGCACTCCACCACTGATACCAGTACCACATCCTATATTATCGAATCTAACAAGCTTTGAAAGAAAAACTTGGATTTATTTTACCAATATCAAGAAGGAAAGCGGATTTCTCCTCAGGCAATGCAAGCAACTCCAGCGCTCTTTCAGCCATTTCTGCTTGAATTCTAACAATGTGTGAATTGGATGCATATTTAGACGCCTCAGTTTCGTTATAGTACTAAAGTAAAGCATGAAGATTCACGCTAACAACAGCAGTATTCTCAATAATCTTTTGGCGAAATTGAATTTTGCACACGTATACAAAAAAAAAGTGCAATTATTACACTAATGATCAATCGTCAACGCTGATCAAGATCTTTATACTCCGGCTGAAAATAGTTTCATCAAATTAAAACCAGATAAAATAAACAAGAATAGCTCGGAAAGACGCCCGTTGATTTTACTAATAACTTACCTCAACCCTTATAAACATATAAGTCCGTACTGTCTCCGCCTATGGAAATAAAATAAAGCAAATGACCTACCAGTTCTGGAGGTCCAGAGTACTCAGGCCGTATGCGACTGACAGACATCTATACAGTGGATAAAAGATGAGACCAACATAGCAGTTCTACACGTAGAAATAAATACTTAGGGTAGACTCTTGAGGTAGCAATGAATTTAATTGAATATTTATTACAGACACAACTTTACCTTACAATGAAGGTTAGAGATTATGGTGAGAAATAGTTCAAAACATGATGACTAGAATGAGATTTACGTTAGCAAGATGCACAGTTGTGACAGTTAACTGTCTCTATATCTACGTGTCTCACATTCACCAAAGGGGTGGGCTAGCTTAACACGAATAAGTTTCGCCATAAAATTGAAGAGGACCAAAAATGTCAGAATGTAGAAAG